TTTGGCATGCTAGGAAACGAGGCTGCACAGCTCCCAAATGCTGAGGGTGGGTTCCACTCAGGTCCTGGCTGACAGCTCTGTGCAGCTGACCTTCTGCTGCCCACCCCCCCATACTCCCGCCCTTCTTGCCTGACTCCACATCTACTTCCCCTAGCCCTGCTGACTCAAGCCTGGGGATCACTGGTCCAGGTGAAAGCTCCTGTTCCCACACTCTGGAGTGGGCCATGGGGGACACTACAGGCTCCACAAGATACAGAGGACCCAGCTTGAATGTCAGCCTTGGCTCTTATCAACCATGCAACCCTCCACAAGGCACTTCACTTGTTGGAGCTCCGATTTCCCCATCTACAAAGAGGATAAGAGCAGTGGCACTCTTGTGGTTGTTTGGGAGGATTCCATGAGCAAACACATGTAGCCATTTTAAGCACAGTGCCTGGGCACAGTTGATGCTCACTAAATGGTATGTTTTGAACATACTTACTAAACTTGAGGTAGATATTAAGGGAGGGGGTCCCCGAAGACCCCCACCCAGAGATAGATCCTGTGCTGCAGGGGAACGCAGGGACACTCGCGAGGGCATGGGCACTCACGGTGGGCTAGGAGACCTCGGGCCTCGACCAGGAAGGGGCCATCGCAGGACCTTGAGCGCTCCCGCTGCCCACAGGTGTTCTCCATCGCCGTCTTCGGGCCCATAGTCAACGAGGGCTACGTGAACGCCGACAGCGGCCCGGAGCTGCGCTGCGTCTTCAACGGCAACGCGGGTGCCTGCCGCTTCGGCGTCGCGCTCGGCCTTGGGGCCTTCCTCGCCTGCGCCGCGTTCCTTCTGCTCGACGTGCGCTTCCAGCAGATCAGCAGCGTCCGCGACCGTCGCCGCGCGGTGTTGCTGGACCTGGGCTTCTCAGGTAGGCGGGGCCGTGAGGGGCGGGGCCTGGGGGAGCGCGCGGGGCTTCTCGGGTGGGCGGAGTCGGCAGGGCGGGCTTCGGGGCGGGGCCAGAGGGAGCGCGTAGATTCTCAGCCGATTGGGGCGGGGACAGGTCCGGGCGGGGCGGGACTGGGCGGGACGGGTCGGGTTCTCGGTCTGTGGATTCTCCTTCCCAGTAGAGTTGGGCCGGGCGCCTCGGTGCAGCATCCCTTGACCCGCCCGCCCACCTGCCCGCAGGGCTCTGGTCCTTCCTGTGGTTCGTGGGCTTTTGTTTCCTCACCAACCAGTGGCAGCGCACGGCGCCCGGGCCGGGCACGACGCAGGCGGCAGACGCGGCGCGAGCCGCCATTGCCTTCAGCTTCTTCTCCATCCTCAGCTGGGTGAGTGCGGCCGGCGACCTGCGGCCGGCAGGGACTGGGGCCAGGTAAGGGTCGGGGCAGGGTCGGCCCTGGCTGACCCCGGACTCCCCCTCAGGCGGCGCTTACCGTGAAGGCCCTGCAGCGGTTCCGTCTGGGCACCGACATGTCGCTCTTTGCCACCGAACAGCTGGGTGCTGGGGCGGGCCAGACCTACCCAGGCTACCCAGTAGGCAGCGGTGTGGAGGGCACCGAGACCTACCAGAGCCCGCCCTTCACCGAGGCTCTGGACACCAGCCCCAAAGGGTACCAGCTTCCTGCCTACTAGTGGCCAGCAGGCCCAGACCAAGGCACAAAGGCTGCCCCACCAATGCAGGATCCAAGGCTTCCTGGGACCTCCCTCAGGTCCTTCTGGCCCAGCAGCAACGTGTGGATTCTGTGGGCCATCTGGGGCCAAGAGAGGGTAGCCTCCAGGGTGCCTGGGCTGTTCCCCCCAAGTTCCTCCAGTCCCTTTAGTCCCCAGCCCAGGGCCAGAGGTCCTGAGGAGAGAACAGCACAGCCCTGGGCACGTGTCCTTCAGCCTCCAGTGGACCAGCCTAGGCAGCGGGCCATTCCCCTCATGAGCCAGGCAGGCAGGGCTCACCTGTACACTCTGGGGTCAGGGGTCCAGCTGCCCTCCATAGCCAGGTGCAGGGGCTGCCCTGGACTGAGGATGACTGGGGGAAGGGACACCACCGTCACCCCGTGGCCACTGTTCCCCATCCCTTGTCCCTGTGGGTAGTGGTGGTCCTTGCTCTGTCCTGGTGTTTCACCCTGTAGGGCCACGTGCTCTGTCTAGAGCCTCCCTCCATTTCCTCTCACAGGCTCACTAGAGTAGCCCAGCCCTGTCGATGTTGTGATTGTGATCAAGTCTTCAGGTTTCACCTCGTAGTTCCCCACAAGCAGCCCCTCTTTTCTGTGGCCCCAGCTTCAGCCCTTACCTGCCTTGGCCCAGGCCCTTGCTGGGGTGCGGGCAGCTCTGGCCAGGAAAGCACAACATGGCTGTAGGCCTGAGCATCAGCCCTCTCCCAGCCCTTCAGTAAGACCTTGCCCAAGGGAGGCTCCAGACACCTGGGTGCCCAGCAGGACACACCCCTCACGAGGAGAGAGGCCTAGAGGCTTCACCTTCCCACCGTGCCCTGGAGACAGACATTTCCCGCAAACCCCTTTACCTCGGCTCCCTGGACTAGTCCCTCAGCTCCCCATGCTGTACCCCATTTTAAGGCCCAGCCCAAGGTTGGGGGTCCCTTTGCATAGCTGAGTACTCATGCATTGCTCAAAGCTGGCTTTTCACATTAAGTCAATACCAAATGCGGTTGCCACATTACATTTTTACAGACAGTCGCCTCCCTCTGGAGTTGCAGTTGAGTGACAACCCTGTACGTTGTAGCATAGACCAATTATTTGTGGATATTTAAGTGAACATGTTTACAATTTTTGTATATATGGGTCTCTCCCTCCCTCTTCTGAAAGAACAATCCGTGATTATGTATTTTCAGTGTCCCATGTTCCAACTGCAGCTTCTTTACAATAAAGACTGTAAATGAGTTTACTGTGGCCCAGACACTCTTGGAATCCTTTCTACTCCTGCCCCTCCAGTACCAGAGGTTGGGACCTGAGGGGGCCCAGGGCCAAGAATCCAGAAAGGGGCACAGGGAGGTGGAGACCAGGCTGATGCCCATGTTCTGGAGAGTGCTGGGCAAAGCAGTCGTCATTTCTCCAGATGTCCGCTTCTTACTGCCTTCTGCTCCTGGGACCCCACCATGTGTACCATGCAGCATCTAGAGCCACATTCCCTGGCCAACTCCCCTTTGGAGATTTCCCCAGCTTGGTCTTGTTTACTTTTGAATTTTTCTATTGGGATTCTTAGTTGCTTTTTCATTTCTGACTTATTGGTTAATAACATTCTGGTTGAATGAAGCAGTAAGAGCTGGAGCTGGAATGCTGGCTTGGCCGTGTTCAGGCTTGGTCTTTCTGGGCAAGTCTCTCAGCTTGTCTGTACCTCAGGCTCCCCTTCCGGAAAAGGAAAATAGTAGTTGCCGTCATCAAAGGTGCGGGAAGGGTTAACGTAAACGTGTATGTGTGTGTGTGTGTGTAAAAAGCTCAGAGCAGTGCTTGTCACACAGCAAACACCGCTAAGTGTTGCCTGGTATTGCTATGGTTCTTGCTCCTTTAAGAATCGGTATTTTCAGTATTGTTAATGAGATAGCTCATCTTCCAGGTTACTCTTTGGGGGTGCTGCTTGTGCTCAGGTCTGCAAAGAGGGCATCAGCTATGAGGGGCTTCTCTGGTGTGGTGGTGAATGCAGGTGGCCTCTAGGCAGTCCCATGGAGAGTGAAGAGTGTGAAGGCTCTGTCTCCTAGTGGGCTCCGAGCATCGCCATCACCCAGGAACTTGCTCCAGTCTCAGCCACAGGCAGGCAGGTCCTCGGCTTCAGATAGGCAGTACCCATGCAGCCGTGTGGCTCTGGCCTGGCTCCACTGCAGGCCATGTCCCCTTCATCACCTGGGGTACCCCCTTCTGCTTCTTTTAGAAAGACATCTCTTTCTTTTCATCTAAGGATGTTGCCTTATTTGGATGTAGCTATGTGTTTAGACCTTTTTTCCTCCTATTTATATGTGTTTGTGGCAGAAAGGGAAGAGTTCACTGGGTGTCTGGTTCCTTTTCAAAATAACTGGATCCAAATAATTAAGTACAAATTATTTTCTTTCAGTATTTCAGATATGCCCTGCACTGTTTCTAAATTGTTCTTGTTGATCTTTAGTAGCTCTTTCACTGGTCTATGGATTGAAACCTCAAGTCTGTGTGACTCCCAGGTTCTGGAAGAATAGTTTTACTGGGTACACAGTGTAGGTCAAGCATGGCTGTCTCTACTCCTGGAAGGCTTGGGTGGTGCTCGACCTCCAGGACTGGAGCCCAGGGTTGGCTGCTTCTTCCTGTGAGCAAGCCCAGCTCTCCCCACAGGTCTTCCCCGCCCCAGCACTCACTGGTGACCACCTGAGCTGTAGTGTCTTGACAACTCTGAGTGGGGTGACCCCGGAAGGCAGAGAAGCTCAGCTATGTGCATTATTGCAAAATAAATTTATTTGAAGATAAACTGTCTTATAAAAGGTCAGAGGCAATTTGAGATCCCAGTTTCAGCTAGTCTCGTAAAAAGATTCAACTTCAAGTAGCACAATTTCGTGTCTGCTTTTAATCCTGAACGTTCTTGAATAATGAAACAGCCAACTGTTTACACAACACACTCAACATCTGACTCCAGCACCTGTGGCCCCACAGCTCAGGGACCACGGTGCCACAGCCCTCAGGCTCAGGCGGTCCCAGATCGGGCCACCGTGGCCACCGGCTCTGACAGCACACATAGGTCCTGGCATCCCAGCCCTTCTCTCCCCGGCACCTTCCAGAAGCATGAGAATGTAAACTCAGACCAGCCTGCTGCTGAGGCAGGGGTCTTTCTCCAGTTCCCAGGAGAAATCCAGATGGACTCCTGCATGACGGTGTGCTGACAGGGTGGTGCGGGCCTTCCTGGTGATCCCTGGCAGGCCGGCCAGCTGAGGGGCCTGAGTGGGTGGCCTCACCAGGGCCTCACCTGGCTGCCTGGCAGCCCAGAGGGAGGAGGAGGGAGAAAGGAGGCTCATGGGTGTGGCGGCTCCTGCCTGCGCTGGCAGGAGCTACGTCCGGAGCTACGTGAGGATCCTGGCGATGGCCTGCAGGGAGGGGAAGTCGTCGTCCCGGGCGGCGTGCAGCGCCTGGTGGCTGTTGACATCACCGTGCGCGAGCACCTGCTGGCAGGTGGGGCACACGCAGCAGTCCAGGCCCGCCTGCTGGGTGCTGGCCTGCCATGCACTCCTCTTGTTCTTCTTGGCCTTAGTGCCGGGAGGCCTCTCACGGCCTCGAAAGCCTGTATGTGCAGACAGCAGCTCCTGCTGCTTGGCCGTGTCGGGCAGGAGCACCAGCAGCTCATTGAAGATCTTCTGGAAGTTTTCCCCCAGCAGGTCCCGGCAGCTTTTGTAATACTGGGCTGCGGAGATCACGCCCTGCCACCCAGAGCCAGACCCAGTCACACCTGGCCCAGGCCTGGGCCCCAGGTGGCCGGGCTGGCCCCCACACCCCCGCCTGCCTGACCTGTCTGAACTGCCCCGAGTGGCTCTTGAACTTGCTGAAGCAGGCCTCATCGCTCTGCAGGAAGTCCTTGATGGACTGGATGAGCTGCAGGTTTCTTTCCCGGAAGTTCTCAGGGACCAGGTAGGCCCGTGGCATGGGTGTTGGCCTGGGTTTGGAATCGGGACATGGGGAAGAGGTGGAGGCTTCAGCCTTTGGAGTGGCCCAAGGTGAGGGCACTCCCCCCACAGGGGCATGAGGCCAGGTGGCCCACCCACACTTACGCTTTCGTGGTGGTCGTAGTGCTGGGGACACAGGCCGGGTGGGGGCTAGGCAGAAGGCCAGAGAAGCCAGGAGGTGGCTTGCTGACGGGGGGCACCAGACCCGGTGGAGGTGGAGGCGGAGCACCCTTCAGGAGCACCACGGTGTTGAAGCCTGTGGAGGATGGGGGGGCACACAGGAAGATCTCAGGACGTGACCCTCGCTGGCCAGGCAGACAAACCTTGGTCCCCCACTTCCCATAAGCTGCCCATCTCACCAGGGTGAGGGTCAGGCTTTGTCCACAACCGCACCTCCCCCGCAAAGCAGGCCCAGAGCCTGATGATGCCAAGAGCCGGCATGCATGCTGTGTTCCCTTGTGGCGAATGCTGGCCTAAGTTAACTCATTTTTGCCTTCACCTCAAGAGAGTGCTAGGGGCTTCCCTGGTGGTGCAGTGGTTGAGAATCTGCCTGCCAGTGCAGGGGACACGGGTTCGAGCCCTGGTCTGGGAAGATCCCACGTGCCGCAGAGCAACTAGGCCCGTGAGCCACAACTACTGAGCCTGTGCTTCTGGAGCCTGTGCTCCGCAACGAGAGGCCGCGACAGTGAGAGGCCCGCACACCGCGATGAGGAGTGGCCCCTGCTCAGAAACGAAGACCCAACACAGCCAAAAATAAATAAATAAATTAAAAAAAAAAAAAAAAAAGAGGGTGCTAGGAGTGCCCTGATTTACCGGGAGGAAAAGGCTGCAGAGAAGTTATGTGGCAGACCAAAGTCACGCTGCTCACAGACATGGAGCCTGCATCCAGACTTGGCCGTCAGGTTTCCAAGGCAGCTGGAAACCACCACACAGGCTCATCTCTCCCCACCTGCACCTGCACAACCTCGGGCTATGCTCCTCTTGGGCACAGGGTCTCAAGCCTGACTCAAAAACCTGGCCCCTTCCCAGATGCCCCAAAGCAGGCCTGAGCCAGGCACACATACCTGGGGGCGGGGGCATCCTGGGCGGGCAGGGGCCGCAGAGCGCTGGGAAGTCTTCCTGGGGCGTGGGGCAGGGGAGGGGCCCCAGAGGCCTCGGGAGCCCAGGGGGTTCCTTAGGGCTGCTCCGAGCTGGGACCAGCCCCTCTGTGTGTCCGTTGACGATGACAGCAGCTGACCCCTCAGCTCTGCCAGTGGGGGCCGCGGGGGCCTGCTCAGCCCCGGGGGGCCCATCTTTGTCAGGGGGCAGTGGCGGGGGAGATGAGGCACCCGACTTCTCGGAGCCCACCTTCTTCTTCTTGCCGACCTTGGTGAAGGTCTGGGTGGAGGCCACAGCCAGCAGGGAAGAAACGGCGACTGTCGTGGGCACGCCCCGCAGCTCCTGGGTGGTGAGGCTGGGGCGGCCATCCTCCTCCTCCTCCTCCTCCGCGCGGGGCAGTCCACTCTTTTTACCACCCTTACCCCCCTTCCCAGCCTTCCTGGGGGGCTGGCTTCCCCCACTGGCAGACTGGGCCCCTGGGGCGGGATGCACCACCTTCTTGCTGCCACTGCTGTTCCACGCAGAGATGAGGCTGGTGGGGGCAGTGCTGGGCTTGGAGGCAGAGGACACCAGGGCAGGAAAGTCCTCCTCCTGGAAGGTGCTCCTGCCCCTTGCGGGGACAGAGTAGGCCAGCGCCAGCCCCACGGGACCCAGGGCAGCTGCTGCAGAGCAGGGGGAAGAAGTGGAGGCACAGAGACTGGGGAAGTCTTCGTCCTTGAGCTTCGAAGTGGGGGGTGGGAGAGCACTGTGCCAAGAAGAGGAGAGGGATCAGTGGCCTGCCAGGCCCTGGCCTGCCCGGCAGCCACCCTCCACCTACCTCACATAGGAGCCCCGGTTCGTGCACACATCTACCTTGGGAATGTGGCTCCTGCAGCCAAGCCAGTTGCTGGCAAGGCCTCTTGGCTCACAGGACCATTTATTGAGGCTTCCTTGGAGCCTACAAGACACCAAAGAACCCTAGGTCAGGGCTGACCAATGCTGAAGGGCAGGATCAGACCCTGTGGGGTGACTGGAGAGCACACGGGTTCTCACTGGCCTTGTGGGTGGAGGCCCTGCCAGTCCGGGCATCGCCACGCTGGTCAGGAGCCCACCTCCCACCTCCTACCTCCTGCGCCAGAGTAGGGTTGCCTACAGGGAAGGCCCACTCACCTGGGCCTTCGCCCTGAGTCCGGGGCGGGCGCCGGGGGCCCCGGGGCTCCTCAGGACCCCGCGCACCTGCCTCCTCCTTCCTGGGCCTGCTGCCCTCCTCCTGGTCCTCACTCCTACGTGTGTCCTGCTGCTGCTGCACGGCCACCGAGGCCCGGATGGCAGCTGCCACTTCTCGATCTTCTTCTTCCCTGGGATGGGGATGACTTCAGGCTGGGCAAGGCCCAGGACTACAGTGACGTGCAGGACAAGGGGCTGGGGAGGGGCCTTGCCCCTGGGAAGCCTGGACACCAGGAGGCTGCCTGCCAGGAGCCAGCAGAACCGGTGCCAGCCCAGCCTCCCTGTCCAGGAGAGGGCGCTGTGGAGGGAGCTGGACCATCCGCCTGCCAGCCTCAAGCTTCGGCTCCCTGGGCAACACCCGGCCCTGTTCTCTGGGATAGGATTTGGGGTCCAGAGATGGCTCAATCCAGCCCGGCCATCGGGGGCAGCCCAGCCTGAGTGCGTGGCTGCCACGCTGTGGCTTCACGGCACAACTGCACTGAACCCCCAATGACCCAGGACCCCCCTTACCACCCCAATCTGCAGGGTCTTGGTGTCTCTGGCTAAAACTAGGGGAAAGTGAAGGAATCCTCACTGAGGACACCTAGCAGACCTGTTGCCATGCCCAGGACACCAGAGGCCAGAAAGCCAAAGTCCCCTGACAGCGGTGCCTATCCCCAGCCCAGCTGTTGGCTGCTGCTACCGCCTCAGGGGTGGTGCCAGGAGAACATTAAGTCCTGGCAGCATGCAAATCCTCCCACCTCTTGTACCTCCAGCTTCCTCGGCGGCTCTGCTGGGCTCCACGACCGCTGGCCCGGCCCGTGCGGCCCTGGCGGTTGTACCTGTCCAACTCCTCGTAGTCCTCGCCACCAATGACCCCTACAGCCAGCACACAGCCCGTCACGGGCCCAGGCCAGACTGAGGCCAGTGCTCTGGCTTAGACAGCAGAGGCCTCCCCACCCACCATAGCACCTGAACCTGGGGGATGGGCACAGACACCTCTCAGGGTTCACAGTGGTCCTGGGCCTCTAGCCTAGGCACCAGGTCAGAGCAAGAACTGGGCTGGGAGAGGGGCCTGGGCCTGCTGGCCCCACAGTCCCAGGAGGGACCTACACACAGTGGGCACTCAGTAATCCTCCTGACCTGGGGACCAGGGACCCCAGAACAGCAGATCTGAGACCGCTTAGGAGCCAGGGAAGAGCTCCCTGTCCCAACGTGCTCAGGTGCTTGGGGCTCCTCAATGGGCTGGGGGGACACAGGCTCAACAGGCTTGTCCCTTGTCCCTGCTCACACGTGAGGGGTCGGATCAGGACCTGGGTCTGAGGCCTCCAGAGCAGGGCTCCGCAATGTGAGCCCTGCCTTGGGGCCCTCGCTCAGCAGGGCGGGCCCTGCTCACCCTCGTTCCGGCGCGAGTGCCGCGGCGTGTAGCTGAACTGCAGGTCGATCTGGCGGTTCTGGCGGGCCTCGGCGCGGCTCCGGCTGTGGCAGGCCATCCTGTGGGCCTTGAGGTCAATCTCCGTACGGAATGCGTGGGTGAACTGCTCGGTGCTGCAGCGACCCTCCTCGCACAGAAAGTGCTTTTCTCGGAAGTGCTCACGCAGATACGCGTAGTCGCTGCCGGGAACCGGGTGTCAGTAGGGGCCCTCGCCCAGCCCACTCGGGCGTCTCCCAAGGTTGCCGTGCGCCCGCTCCCACCTGTAGTAGTCCTGGGCCCCGTCTGAGTCGCAGAAGTGGCAGAAGTAGTGGTCGCGACGCAGGTGCTTGAGCAGCTCGTCGTTGTCCAGGTAGCGCTCGTCACAGAACTTGCAGAGTGGGTGCCCACGGTGCGATGTGTCATCAGGGTCCCCCTGCATGCGGTGCCGAGCCAGGTCCTTGCGCGAGTACCACTTGCGCTCGTATGTGAAGATCTGTAGGGAATGGGGGGCTGGGAATGGGGTGGGGGCTCCCAGGCCTCCCGCCCCTTCCCACGGCCTGACAATGCAGGGGACCCTGTGGCATCAGTTCTGCCCCAGAGCCCCAGACACCAGCAGCCTGGCAGGCTCTGTGACGCAGGATAGCTGGGGATGCTGGGGAACCCTGGGGATCTGGCCTGTCCAGGGCCAGAGGCAGCAATAAGCTGCTCACAGCTGTCTGGCTGAGCACCCTGTGCCAGCCTCTACTGGCCCTGGCCTCCACCCACCTCCACCAGGTGCTCCCTGAATGCCCGATCCCCAGGCAGGTGCCATGGGGTAGGGTTCACCTTGAGGTGTTTGAGGCACAGCTTGCAGCAGAATAGCTCATGTTGCTTCCGCATATGCTGCTCCAGGTCCCCAAAGAGGCCAAAAGGTGGCAGCTCAGGACACCGTGGGCACTCGTGCTGCAGCAGCTGCCTAGGGAGACATCGAGAGCCACCAGTCCCCCCGAGGGCACTCAGCATCACTATCCAGAGGGGCACTAGAACCTCCCCGCAGCCCCTCACCCAACACCCCTGCAGATGCCCTGGAAGCAGGAGCCAGGAGGATGGGTGCTCCTGCCCCACCGTGCATTTCAGCACTCTGACCACTGAGCCAGATGGTGCTGGGCCCAGGGCCTGAGTTGAACAAGGCCACGGGGTGGGGCTGGGTCCACGATCCAGGAGACTGACCCCTGCATCAGATGGACATGATGACTGAGCCCACACAGGTGCCTGCCCCCTCACCTGGAAGATGAGGACCACCCCCAAGACAACTGTATCACTTTATGAGGTTTTTCCACCATAGGCTAAGAGCTTGATTTGCAGGAGCTCCCGACCACCTCAAAGAGCCCCAGAAAGCAGGGCGTGTGCCTTCCCTGAATTCACCCCTTGTCGCCCACTGCTCCCTCTTTACCACCACCCCAGGAGGGGGCCTGTGAGCATCCCCCGTTCCAGTAGAGAAAGCCAATGATAGAAACCAGCCACCTAGCCCTGACATCTGCACCACACCAGTGCCCCCTCCCCACTGAGGGATGCGAGGAGCAGAGGAGGTGACAGTCCGTCCCCACCACAAAGCATCCCACAGACCCTCAGAAACCCAGGCCGAGAATTCCCCTCTCACCTGTACAAGGCAAACACTTTTCCATCAGCAAAGTAGATGTCATACTTCTTCTCATGCTGAAGCTGATGGACAGGGATTGTGGCAAAGGTAGGAAGCTTCTTCCCAAAGACCACCTGAAACCGAAAGCAAAAGGGACTGGTGAGCCGGACCATGGATGCGTCAGGCTGAGGAGAAAGGGAGGCACTCAGGGCACCTCCTGGGAGGCTTGAGGCAGGTCCCAGCAGGAAGCACCCTCTGCCAGCCTGGGCCAGCCTTGTCTCCTCTCCCCACCCGCAGCCCACCCACCTAGGGTTGCCAGGACAGAGACGCAGCGGCTGACCTCGCCACCAGGGGGCAGCCGGCTCCACACTCATCCACAGACAAACTGGCACCTGCCAGAGAGAGGCTGCCCGAGGGGCAGAGACAGGGATCAGACAGCCAGGCAAACCGGAGCTTAATCACATGGGTATTGGGCACAGGATGACTTTCACCGGGAAAAAGGAGAGACACAGTCCAAGGAGCAGCTAAGGAAACAGTGAATGCTACCAGGCCAGATTGCATGCGTCAAGGCCTGGCTACCCTCCACGCACCCATGATGCTTCCATGACGGCAAAGGGGGAGAAGGGTTCCCCCACAGGACTTGGTCATGGCCCCTGCCCGTTCTTGGCCAGCTTCCTGCCTGTTAACTGGGCTGTCTGAGGGTGCCAAACAGAGGAGCTAGTGTGCTGGTTGTGGACACCTCTGCAGCCCGGCCACTTCTCAGGGGTCTCCAGCACTCTCAGGTAAAGCCTGCTGAGCCTGGCCCAGCAGCCTGCTCTGCCTCTCCACAGACCCTGGCACTGGACGATGACCAGACCCCTGTCCCAATGCCCCCAGCCTGGCCCCCAGGGCCCCTGCACAGGCTCAGGCCTACCCTCTGAGTCAACAAGGGCACTGCTCCCTCCAGGGCTCCCTCATCCTCCAGTCCCCCTTTCTCTCTGCCCCCTCCCCCTTGCATCAAGACCACACTGGCCCATCTCCTCCTCTCCGTGCCCCTTTCTGATCCACCACTGTCCCCCAGCCTGGAGCTGGCCACTCGCCTCAGCTCAGAGTCCTTACCAGCACACCCCGGGGGACAGCCTTTCCTTGGTAAAGGCCACATCAAGATCACCCCTGTTAGGTTTAGGCCCAGTCAGGGAGGATGTCTGGGACCAGGGTGGCCATGAACTTGGGAAAGCGTAGGACTGGCTGGGGAGAGTGGGTGGTTACACCATCCCCAACAGCAGGGTGGTTAAAACTGATTCCCTGGGGGCTCTGGAGAAGGAAATGGGGAGCTCAGCGTCTACTTGTGAGGATATGCTTGGGGGTGTGGAGAGCAGGCTGACAACCAAGCCTGCCCCCGGCCCGCTCCCACAGGAGCCCAATGGAAGCATCATGGTCCAGCCACAGCCATTCTGGAGGGTCAGAGCAGGGTGGGGGGGATGGGCAGCGCCCCAACAGGCCTTTCTTCCCCTTGTCACCATGTCTGGCAAAGCTGGGCAGGATGAATGTGGCTGCCCACCCCTGCCCCCGCCACACGCTGAGCGCACCTCATCCCAGCTGCACCCTGTGACCCATCTTCACAGGGAGGTCTTGGCTCTGCCTCCAAAGGGTCACCCTCCACACCCTCTGCCCCGGTTTTCTCCGTAGGTCCCGAAGGGACATGGGGAAGGTCCCTGAGCCTTCCACTGGCCTCTTCTCATGGGATCTGCCCTCCTAGAGCAAGCCCACATCCAGCCCTGCCTTCCAACCACTCCCAAGGGTACCTTTCCAGCACAGACCCCAGTTCCTGCCTGGGGAGAGGCGCCTGCAGGTGCAGGGCCATGAACCACTCAGGATGCTGCTGGAGGAGCACAGAGCACAAGGAAATAACCACTGGGACTCGGTGCCCATATCCCCAGCCTTGAGGGGAGCCCCAAAACTGCCAACAAGCATCCAAGCTAAACAGACTCAGCAGAGGAACAACTTCCCTCCCAGAGAAACTTGTGCTGGGAGGGCCCCCGCCCCACCCTCACCCCGTCACCCTGGCACCCTCCTTTCAGAGGTCTGCTCTGATCCACCACAGGTGGTATCTCTCCTTGGGCTGTGAGCACCCTTGCCGTGGACTGAGTGACAGTCAGCTTGGGTGGGGTGTCTGTCCCTCCCGAGCAGTCTGGTAGGGCAGCCCAGGCTGGGCACACCTGAGCCAGGCCAGAAGGGGGACACTGGGTTGGCTCAGGAAGAGATTGGAACCAAAGAAGAGGCTTGGGAAAGGAAAGTGTTCGTTTGAGAATGAGGGTGAGCAGGTTTGGAGCTGGGGGGTGGGATGGGGAAATGCTAACTGCCCCTCACAGATAGGCTGGGACCAGGACTGGGCCCCCCGGGCCTGCACCAGACGATGGGATGGCAGTGCAGCCTGGAATGGCCAGTGTCCCTGCCCTCAGCAGAGGGTGAGGCGAGACACAAAACTGCATGGATGGAGGAGAATGAGGGTATGGTGGCCTGGCCAGGGATGGGCAGGAACCCACTAGGGATCCAACCAGTGTGGCCCAAGACCCACCCACCCTGGTGATCACCCTGATGGGAGGGGATCATGGGTCCAAGGACAGAGGTACAGGCCAGGCCTAGATACTTGAGGAGGGACCATCCTGGGCAGCCCCTGGGTGGGCCAGGTAGTAAATGACTAACGGGGCAAAGGTGCCTCTGGGTGGGCCCCAAGAAGATCAGGTCCTGAGGAGAGGCAGATGGGGGCGAAAGTCCCCTCGGACTCCCCCACCACAGGGGTTTCCGCCTGGGGCCTTGCAGCTCCCCACTCCCAGCGTGCAGCGAGCACTCACGGAGAATGAGTGCGTGAGAGGACGGGGATGGGTGTCAGCAACGACCAGTGTGAGAGCGGCTGGACAGGGAGAGTACAGGGACCCAAGGAGCCAGACATGGACAAGCAGGTCCTCTCAGAGGAGGCGGGCCAGGACCAGGTTGGTGGAGAGGGGGCAGGGACAACAGAAGTACATGACCTGAGTCAGCAGGTCCTGCCTCCTGACCTGCCTTCAGCTTCCCCTCCCAATTCCTACCTATGAAATGGGGCAGTGGGGCTGCACCAGGTGGCCTGCAGGGCTCCTCCTAGCTCAGACACATCCCACTTTGTACAGCAGCCCCATCAAGCCTCTTCAACATCACCAGGGATCAGAGCAAGGTGAAAAGTAAGACAAGAATTGTCTTTTAGAAGAAAGTGGCCTGTGGGAAAGATACGACCAGGGAAGACAGGAACCCAGGACTTGACAACAGTCTCAGCCAGCGTGCCCTCAAGACCAGCGCTGCTGCTGCCCATCAGCTGGGAGCCTGCCTCGGCCTCCACCCTGAGCAAGTGCCGGGCAATCTAACTGATCTGGCTCCTCACCCAGGCCGGCATAGGGAGGCACCAGGTCAAGATGTAGGAATTAACCAGCAAACGGAGCTGGCCTGTCCCAAAAAGCATTTTGGCACACTTTCCTCCCAATTTTTTACACTTAGTCCCATAAAAGAGACAGAGGAGAGGCAGGGTTCAGGGGTTTGGGGCTGCTGTGGGATTTCCGAGCAGGCATGGGACACAGGACATATTCAGAGGACAGTGTAGGACTCAGCAAGGGGACAGAAGGGATACAGGGGTGTTCAGAGTTCAAGAGTGAGAGGGAAACAGGATGAATGGAGAGGAGCATCATCTTCCCAAACTTCCCAGAACACCCTCCTGCTGCCTAGCAACTAGGAGCAGGCCTGAGAGGAAGGCCAGACTTGGCCAGGGCACCTGATGCCAAACCACACCCCAGCTGGAGCCAGCTGAAAGCTCACATCCACACCCCCTTGCCACAGAGTCCTTGAAGGGTATGGGACCCACAAGGTATGAGAGAGGCCAGATGCTAGCTACAGCACCCATATATAGGTGTCTGCTTACTTCCTCAGTGAGACCTGCAGTGCCCAGGGCCGGGGCCTCCACTGCGCATGCCTGCCTGCCTGCCTGCCTGGAAGGAAGCTACAGGTGTGCTGGGAAACCTGGCCATTCAAGAGTTATATCACGTTATGCAAGACTGGAAGGCAAGGCAGGCTCTGGTGAAGTTGGGAGGCGCCTTCTGACTAAGTCACAGACCCAAGGTTTCCCCAACTGCTCCTGCACCTCAGATCCCTCCCAGGTCCAGGTGTATCTCTGTCCACCCCATTACAGACTGACAGCATCTCCAAGTGTCTTTTTCAGATAGGGCACGGAGTAGGTGCCCACAGAGTACTCATGGGATTACAGCATTTTCTTGGCTCCTTTAACATAAAAGTCTACTTTAAAAAAAGAAAGTGAAGAAAGGATGTCGTTTCCGCATCACTTCTAGGAAAAAGAAAGTCATATTCCCTGGCAGACGTCACCAGCCCAAGCTTTCCATGAACAAACCAGGGGAACTTCACAACTCTGTAAGCAAACATATCTCAATGCACATCAGGGCTTCCCTGGTGGCGCAGTGGTTGAGAGTCCGCCTGCCGATGCAGAGGTGACGGGTTCGTGCCCCGGTCTGGGAAGATCCCACATGCCGCGGAGCGGCTGGGCCCGTGAGCCATGGCCGCTGAGCCTGCGTGTCCGGAGCCTGTGCTCCACGGCGGGAAAGGCCACAGCGGTGAGAGGCCCGCGTACCACAAAAAAAATTTTAAAAAAGCACAGCAAACCAAGGGAGCTCCAGCTAGGTGCTCCCAGCCAGCAGCTTGCATTGCGGGGAGGGTGGGAGAAAGCTCCGTGGAGCCCTCTGACCTCACTAGGGCTTCCAAGTCTGGACAATCAGAAACTCCCTCTTCTCCACTCTGGAGATGAGCACCCGCCCCCGCCCCCCGCCACCAGGTGGAACCGGCAAGAAGGAGGAAAACTTCGTAACACTTTTATCCCCACCCACCAAGCACCCTGAGGAGACCTCAGTGGTTCTGCCTTCCCCTCTGGTGGTGATGGTGAGTACAACCATCACTTAATAGACAGAAATGCCATTCTCAGAAGGAGTTTGCTCAGCGTCACCCAGAAAGGCCCAGAGACACAGCTAGGCTGGAAATGCCCAGACTGATCCTCTGCTTCCAGGACAGATTGCCACTGAAGGTGCCCACTTTCCCTGTTGCCTCCACCGGAAATGGAGACCCCTGATGAATAATCTCCCAAGACGAGCAGGTCTAGGAGCTCCTGCTCTGATCATGCCCCTCCTGTGGCCCGGCAGGAATTCCCGGGGCTCAGGAGGAAAGCCCCCAGACTCTGTCCCCACAAGGACCGCTGCCTCTTCCAATCAGCTCGGCCACCTCCTGCCTGCCACCCCCACACGCCCCACAGTCGGCCCCACGATGGGGACCCCGCCCCGGGTGGCCCCGCCAGGCCTCTCTTTTGGAAGCCGGCGCCACTAGGCCTGCAGCCGGACACCAGGAAGGCAAAGTCCCCTTCCGGCCGCCGGGTGACCAGCCGCCCCGCCCGGCCGCGCCCCCGCTCCCGCCCAGTTGCCCCGACACGCGGCCATGCCAGCGCAGCTCACCTGGCGCAGCTCCTCGCGGCACACGGCGCAGTAGCGCTGCTCGCACAGCACCCGCATCTTGGTGGAGCAGCGGTAGCACACCGGGTGGTCGCAGCGGCCCAGCGCCGTGGCCTCCAGGTCCCCGCAGCACAGCACGCAGCTCCCGCCGCCCCGCTCAGGTGCCGCCACCGCCGCCTCCAGGGCCGCGCGCCTCCCCTCCGGGCCCGCCGCCGCCGCCATGGTCCGGGATACGGGCCCCTCCCGGCCGGCGCGGCGCGGCGCGGCACAGACTGGCTCCTAGCGGGCCCGCCCCTTCCGGGCTACGTCACCGCCCCGCCCAGCAACGGCCCCACCTGGCGGAAGTGCGCTCACGACTTCCGCCTCAGCGAGGCGCCGGCTAGAGCGGCGCCACCGGCACCGGGCGCTCTAGGCGGAGCGGACAGGTTGGAGGTCAGCTGCAGGTCCGACGCCGGGCTGCGGGCGTCAGGCCCTCCTCTCCTCCGACCCTAGTCTTGGGCCAGCACTGTCCTCCCAGAGCAAAATGTTTAATGCTGCAAATATTGATGGGTCATACTTATACTAAAGTGTTACTCGTTGTTCATCTGAAATTCAAATTTAACTAGAAGTCCTGTATTTTTATTTGCTAAATATTGCAACCCTATTAGGAGCCCAAAATCTCTTTCCAACCCAGATCTTTCTTTTGTATTTGGGACACACACGGGCGTGGTCATCGGGCACACACACGCGCTTGCGCACACACAAACACAATCCCTATCAGAAAAGACAACACGTGGTGACATCAGTCTCTGAACTAGGAGCGGTCTACCCCAGTCCCGATAGAAACGCGGGTAGAGAACCTGTCCTCTTCATGGCTAGGCCCACCCAGCTGAGCCCGGAGGCTTGACGCAGAGAAACATCGGGGCAGGTTTGCTGATTGGACGGTTGTGAATCCTGGGGCTTTGGGTCTCTGCAGCTGTTGGGGGGCCTCCTCACTACCCTTGGGGGCCAGGCACACTCAGGACCTCCCTTCTGCTATCACAGGAGGCTAGTCCGGTTCTGAACCCTTCTAGAAAAGAGGCGGTGTGTTGTGAGCGGATGAGCTTGGACTTTAGAATCAGAAATGGGCTGGAGGACTTCCCCGGCTGACCAGTGGTTAAGACTATGCCCTCTAGCACACCACTGTAAAGCAATTATACCCCAATAAAGATGTTAAAAAAAAAAAAAAAAAGACTATGCCCTTGGGCTTCCCTGGTGGCTCAGTGGTTGAGAATCTGCTTGCCAATGCAGGGGACACAGGTTCGAGCCCTGTTCTGGGAAGATCCCACATTCCACGGAGCAACTAAGCCCATGCAGCACAACTACTGAGCCTGTGCTCTAGAGCCCACGAGCCACAACTACTGAGCCCACGTGCCACAACTACTGAAGCCCGTACGCCTAGAGCCTGTGCTCTGCAACAAGAGAAGCCACCACAATGAGAAGCACACACACCGCAATAAAGAGTAGCCCCCGCTCGCCACAGCTAGAGAAAGCCCGTGCACAGCAAAGAAGACCCAACGCAGACAAAAATAAATAAATTAAATAAATAAATTTTTTAAAAAAAGACTATGCCCTTCCACTGCAGGGGACACGGGTTTGATCCCTGGTCAGGGAACTAAAATCCTGCATGCTGTGCAGCCAAAAGAAATAAGAATTTTTTTTAAAAGGGGGGCTGGAAACCCCAGATCGACTACTTACTTGCTGGTGACCTTGGTCAGCTCACTGAGCCTTTAGCTTCCTCCATTTGCAAAACAGGGATCATCACACCAATTAAACGTGGTGGATTGGCCACATGCAGGTGTCATCTCACCCTCGCAAAACCCCACTGAAAGGACAGTAAAGGGATAAAAGACTATCTTTCCACGAGCACAAAGAAGAGGAGAGGAGCAAGCAGTAAGATGCAAGCAAATTGTGGAATGACAGAAAGAAGGTGGAGGGTGACTCATTTTACAAAGCATCCTTAAGACCTTTGGGGGAACCCCAATGAGAAGTTTCACTGAAGGTGGGACTGAAAACAGGAGTGTATGGAAGTCCATGCATTGTCTGGGGGCCTGGGCCCAATCCACCTCCAACTCACCCTCAGCAGGAGACTGGAGGTTTTTCCACTAAGGAAACTCACCAGCTCAGAAAAAAGATATTCATACCCCATAAGGGAATAAAAAGCTGTCCTCAGACAGAAAGCTTGCTGTAGCTGAGAAGTATGTGAACATCAGCCTGGCCCAAGCTCTTACCTCGCTGACCTGTGGATTTCTGTGTCTTTCAAGCCCTGCCTGGAGTGGATCATAGAAGCAATAAGAGGAGCATCCTTGTTCTCCTGGTTGCTGTCTGAGCATATTTACTACATACTGACTTGCAAAATGGCAGCCCCACATCTGTCCACTATATGTGCTCTGCTTGTCCTAGACCCTTCCTGTGCCCATGAGAGGATCACAGAGATGGAAAACTTCCACTCTGAGTTACAAAACTCAATAACCTTTGAGGATGTGGCCATGGACTTCACCCAGGAGGAGTGGGCATTGCTGAATTCATCTCAGAGACAACTGTACAGAGATGTGATGCTGGAGAACTATAGAAACTTGGCTTCACTGAGACATCAACTCATCAAACCTCCTCTCATCACCCAGATGGAGCAGGAAGATGAAATGGAGACAGTAGAGAGAATAATTCATCAAGATACCTGTTCAGATGAGCTGATTCTCCTTAAAGCCAAACAACCACAGCAAAAGCAAGGTATTTTGGAGAAATATACACTCAATGGCAAGAAGGAACAAACTCTTGGAGGCAATCCCATTCAATGCAGTGCAATTGTTGAAGCCTTGAGTGTGAAATCTAGCATTACTCACAGTAAAATTTACCCTAGCAAGAAACCCCATTGATACCTTGACTCTGCAAAAGTCCTTAGAGATTCTTCACATCTTAAGCCACCTGAGGGAATTCTTCTTCGGGAAAAATCTTTTGAATGTAAAAAAGATGAAAATGCCTTCCTCAGGAGTTCTAACTTAGCTGGGCATAAGAGACAACATACAGAAGAGACATCCTATGAATGCAGTGACTGGGGGAAAGTCTTAAATTCAATCTCACACCTTAAGAAGGATGAAAAAACTCACATTAGAGAGAAACCTTTTGAGTGTAATCAGTGTGGTAAAGTAGTACAGAGCCATTCATCCATTAAGTTGCACATGAGAACCTACACTGGAGAAAAACCATTTAAGTGTGATCAGCGTGGGAAAGCCTATAGCTCAAGCTCTTACCTTACACATCACAAGAGAATTCATACTGGAGAGAAGCCCTATGAATGCCATGACTGTGTAAAAACCTTCCAAGATAGCTCACTTCAGACAACATTCAGGGACTCATTCAAGAGAAAAAGCCTACAAATGTAATCAATGCAGCAAAACCTTCAGTAGAAGCTCTAGGCTTACCATAACCAGATAACACATACTGGAGAGAAACCCTGTATGTGCAGTGATTGTGGGAAAACCTTCAGTATCCTCCCATATTTTAAAAGACATAAGGGAATCCACACTGGAGAGAAATCCATTGAATGTAGCCATTGTGGTAAAGCCCTAAGTAGTAAGTCATCTCTTAAGATACACCTGCGGATACATACTGGAGAGAAACCTTACAAGTGTGATCAATGTGGGAAAGCTTTTAGGCTGAGCTCCAACTTTATCACGCACAAGAAAATTCATACTGGAGAGAAACCCTGTAAGTGCAATGACTGTGGGAAAGCCTTCAGGGATCGTTCATGCCTTAAAGAACATGTGAGAATTCACACTGGAGAAAAACCCTTTACATGTAATCAATGTGGAAAAGCCTTCAGAGTGAAATCTTTCCTCGTTTTACACAAGAAAATTCACATGAAAATGAAACATGAATGTAAGGAATGTGGGAAAGCATTCTGTGGTCTCTTATCTCATAGGAGGCACATGAAAATCCATACCAGGGACAAGAAACCTTTTAAGTGCAGTGAGTGTGGAAAAGCTTTTAGCAGGCATGTGTCCCTTACAATACACATGAGAACTCACATGGAAGAGAAACTCTATGAGTGTAATCAATGTGGAAAATACTTTAGTGTAAAGTGTAATCTCATTGCACACAAAAGAATACATACTGGAAAAAAAACCTACAAATGCAATGTCTGCAGGCAAGGTTTCAGTAAATCCTTACCCCTTTGGTGTCATGAGAGAACTCATGCTCAGTAAACCCCCTTTTAATGATATCCATGTAAAGTAGCTTTCAGTGAACTCTCAATCTTTAAGACATACAACCAAATGCTAAGTGAAAAGAACTGGTTGTGAAGAATGTGAGAAAGCCTCTAAGTAATGCATATATGGAAGAAACCTAAGTTATACAATGACTGTGAGAAATCGTTTATTCATTCATTATCCCTTAAAAGATATGTGATAACGCTGAAGGGAAAATGTTTTAATATCTTCAAGACTTGTTACTTGAGAAAAATAAACACCTAATGTTTTAAGTCAAAAAAAAAAAAAAGAAAGAAAGAAAGAAAGAAAAGCTGTCCTGCTGTCCAGCTGCCCTACAGTGAAGCCCACACTCAGCAAGCCATGCCCCCCAAAAAGGGAGCAGCCAACCAGTGTTGCAGGGTCTCACTCACAACTGTGCACCAGCAACCAACGATCTCCAGACTCATGAGGAGAGCCTGCACTGTGTGATACAGGGATGAAAACAAGCAGACCCAGAGATCAGAAAGAAATTTTAGATCATAAACATATATATATATGCCACAGAAGCAATCCCAGAAAAGGAGGGAAAGGCCTGAACATGGATAGTGGCAGTGGAGGTTAAAAGGAGGAGAAAGAGGGCTTCCCTGGTGGCGCAGTGGTTGAGAGTCTGCCTGCCGATGCAGGGGACACGGGTTCGTGCCCCGGTCCGGGAAGATCCTACATGCCGCAGAGCGGCTGGGCCCGTGAGCCATGGCCGCTGAGCCTGCGCGTTCGGAGCCTGTGCTCCACAACGGGAGAGGCCACAACAGTGAGAGGCCCGCGTACCGCAAAAATAAAAAAGGAGGAGAAAGATTCAAGAGATGTTCCTCCTTCAAGAATATATATATATATATATATATATATATATATATATATGCTATTCACAAGAAAGATATTCCTTCCATGAAATGAGACTAGGATGCCTTGAACAACCATAACAACCACAAAACAGAGAACAAGAAAGAGCCCTTAGAAATT